AAAAGCTTACCTGCAGCGGAAATTGGTGACAACAGGGCGAAATAGTGTATGGCTCTGGTTGGTATGAACGGTGAAAACCACCGCGTATTCTTCGCCAAAACATAGACTCAGCATTAGTACTTTAAAAAAGCAACGGTTCTTTACACTATCCGGAGACAACTAGAAAAAAAAAACGACTTTCTTCGCTGAACAAAAGCTTTGCATAAGCATGTTAGATCATTCGGAAGCTGGAACATCCGACTACTGCGTTACGTAGCGATTTAATTTTGAAAGAGCCTTTCTATGAAGCTGTAGCATTCGAAATAAAATTAAATTTTGAACCGGCTGCACATTTTCACTATCACTTCGTTAGAAGCACGAAAAGCATATGAATGTGTAGGGGAAATCGTGTGTAGCATCAGAGTCACAAGTTTTAAGTGTAATTTCTTTCAAAGCAGAAAAAAAACCGCGCTTTAAGTGAACAAAAACTGCACTCCACAGATGCATCTCGTCGACGCCATGGATCGATCTCGCACGGAATCCACGGCCAACATCCCCTCCTTACGCTCAGCCCACACACTATCCGAAAAAACTGCCCACCTATGTAAACTTGGTCTTATCTTCTTTCCTACACTACAGTGAAACGGTTTTATCAGGAAATAAACACAGCTTGGAATCAATGTGGCTTAAGCTATCGAATGGGTTAATTATAAATTGAGGAAAGAGCTCTGTCCTACGAGAAATAAGCGTTGTGCAAAACCCAAATGTTTTCTCTCTGCTACGTCGTTATAAAAAGACTGCTTCAAAAAAATTACCGCGTAGCGCAGTAGCCAGAGACTTAAGCTCTCGATGGACTACTGAAAGTGCAATGTAAAGTCATTGTCCAGCGATAGGTATCGTTTCTTCTTTTGTCGCTGTCTAACAGACAAGAACCAAACAACTTAGGATTTCACAAGCAAACCGCCTTGAATTATGAGTAGGAAAAATCAAGAAAAATGGGCAATTCACGAGACTCACAGTATGGTGACGATGCAATCAACGCCCGTGTAAGTACGACGCGGCGGCAGTGAAACTCAAGAATGTTCGCCTCCGGTGATCCGAGATAGCCATATGCCAAATTATCGAACGTCAAACCAGCACCTGCACAGAACCACAGAGATCTGATATGCTTACCAGATGATGTAGAGTTTACCAGAAATGCACATTAAAGTTGTCTTGATGGGTTGGCAAGAGATTTTTTTGGACTTCCTCCTTGTTGTTGATGGTTTCTCATACATCCAAGTTTCTAAGGTACCGATATGTTTGGCGGCGACAAATTTTCTAGCCGATCTCATTCGCTGGACAGGATATTCTCGTGGGAGTGTTACTAATCATTAGAAAGCTTAAATCTCTGGCGACAATTTTACGTTGCTGATTTTTCAAACCGCCCTTTTACAACACTGTAGCATCCAAAATAAGATTTTGTTCCACACTCACCTTTCGCCTCTATTTTTAACATGCGTATAAATCGCTGGAAGTACTCAACTTGTATAAAATCTGGCGTACTATCAATATCTAAGTCTTAGTTCAAAGTTTGTGTCGATGCCATGAAAAAATCCCCAATAGAATCACAATATTTCAAACGCAATCGATTGCACCGCGTCTCTCCCCTCATTTCTCCCTCGCTATGTGAGTTGATCGGTGAACAAAGTCGCCGGAAGGTTCATAGCTTAGTAGAATGTGAAGGGAAGCCACAGAGACGACATGTTAGTGAGTTAGCTGCGTGATCTACTGTGTAGCTCGATAGCGATCTACCACACTATACAATAAAAACATAGGCAATTATTATTTCACTAGGGATTTTTTTTCCATTGCATCGACAGCTCTAAACAAAAATACATTATTCTGATACTACGCAAAATTCTCTACACGCTGCTATGCTTTTCGTGCTTCCAGCAATTTATACACGCGGTAAAAATGAAGGCCAAAACGCGAGTGAGAATCGAAATTTTATTTTATATGCTACAGGCGTTATAAAAGGGCGTTTAGAAAAACCGGCAACATGGAGTTGTAACCAGAGATCTAAGTTTTCTTTGGCTAACTAAAAATTGGACGAATCTAATTACCTTTCCAGCTAATGAGATCCGCTTATAGACTTGTCGTCGCTTAACATAAAAGTACCGTTTTCTGTTCCAACTATCGTTTTAGAGCAGCTTCTTATAGATATTTTGGTATAAACACTGATAAATTTCTTCTGAGAAGAGATCGTCCCAAAAGTGAAAACGTTCACATGAGTATCTTTGAGTGCCAAAGCAGCACTCGAACCGAAACGATACCATGAACAATCATTTTTGTTCTCGGGACAATTCCACAAAATAAAGGTATAAGTATTGTACTTCAAATTAATAAAAAAAAGTTGCTCAAAACGATAGTAGAAAGGAAAACTCAAATGCATGAAAAACAATCAACGAGAATGAAAAAGTTCGGAAAAATTTCTTGCCATTTCAATAGAAGAACATCGCTCACCGACGAATGCATCCGGAGGATAAAGCAATAACACCAGCGATATCACAAAGACTAACGAATGAAACAAATATAGCGCTGTTTGGTAGAATATATGTTGCTGAAAAAGTAATCGAGAAACTGAGAGGTACGCAAAAACTCGACCTCAGGCCGGAGTTGAACTTGACTCTTACCCATACTGGTGCACTTGTCACCACTATACTATCGAGGCTATCGCTTTACCAGTGTTCTTTCGTCGGTATATTCCCATCGTAGCTATCAGCAACCAACCCTGACCTAGCAGTCAATTCTCTTAGGCGTACATTTTTAGCAGAGTAACATTGTGAAAAAGCAATGAAAACAAAAAATAATGGGTTGTTCCATAAGTTTCGGCACAAGAGCGATAAAAAACACCAAATTTTAAAATTTGCATGATTTTGGTATCGATTAATAGCGTGTTTTCTTCAGAACATTTTTGTACGCAAGTTGCCATGACTTGCTTTAAGATGGAGCTGTCTTGGGAACAAATTTGCTAACTGCTCATGCACGAATGGCGTGTAGGGGAAAATGCTAGAAAAACGGCGCACAAGATTAGTAGAGCTTGTGGCGATCACACGGTTGCAAAAAAAGGCGGCTAAGAAGTGGTTGGCGAAGATCAAAGCTGAAGAGAACAGTCTAGAGGATCAGTCGCGCTCGTGACGTTCACAGGAAGCTCTGTTAGTTTTACGACGCTTCACTAGATTTTCCATTACGCGCCAAACGTGCATGAGTAGGAAGAGAATTTGTCCCAAAACAGCTCCATCTTAGAGCAGATATAAGCGAGTTGCATATCAAAATGTTCACAAGAAAACGCTTAATCAAACGACACCAAAATCATGCAAAATTAATCACTTTTGGTCAGCAAATTTGGTATTTATTGCTCTGAGCCGAGACTTATGGAACACGAATGGCGTGTAGGGGAAAATGCCAGTGAAGCGGCGCGCAAGTTGTTGTGGAATGCCCGAGAGCGACTGATCCTCCACATACTGCTCTATCCATCCTGCTCTGAACTTTGCAAACCACTTTCTGACCGTCCTTTCTGCTGCACCCAAGGTGTCATCCCCCCGTGCTCCATTGATCTTGCGCCCTCCGCTGCACTAGCATTTTCCCCTACACGCCATTCATGCGTGAGTATCAAGCAATTTCGTTTCCACGACAGCTTCATCTTGAAGCAAGTATAGGCAAGTTGTATACTAAAATGTGCGCAAGAAAATGCGCTATTAAATGATGCCAAAATCGTGCAATTTTATTAAGTTCTGCTTGATAAATTCGGTGTCTTTTGCTCTAGTACCAAAACTAATGGAACGACCTAATGTTAAATTCTAAAGGCTGCGCTAGCACGACGCGACTTCGATGGGTGGGTGGGCGCTGGTTCGACTCCCGCTCGAGGTCAAATTCATTCTTTCCACTCACTTTGTTTATTCGTATATTTGGAACACAATAATACTGCTAAAAAAGGGGTGAAAATAAGAGAAATTTTAGAAATCGAGCTGAAATGCCCCTTTCTGACCTTGCAGCTTATCCCATTCTTCTTGCGTAAGGGTACGGCCGCTCACTTCTTGAAATAAGAGAACACTAGAGAGAAATATGAAATACACAGACGACTCCGAGGAAGCCATAATAACAAGTAACAAGAGGGAAACTTACCAGTCGAGCGGATTCCTTCAATTACAGTTGGCAGATAATCGTTGCAGGACCACATATGTGTTGATGTGTGTCTGTTTACCACCCTCCCTAGAAAATATCCCTCGCAAATGACTATGACAAGGGGTTCAACATATAGCTCCAGAAGATTGAGTAGTGTACAAAAACTTAACCCTAAGCAGGAGCTGAACCTGCGATTCAACCATACCGAGGGCGCGAGCTACCACTACACTACACTGACCGTCCGCTCTGCTATCAGTCTTTTGCTCGACTCAGAACTCTAGTATCGGCGGTTGTAGTGGTAGCACGCACCCTTGCATGGGTGGGAAAGCGGTTTCATCTCCCGGCCGCGGCCATTTTTGTATGTTACTCAATTCTCTAACTGCTGAGAGTTGGATACATCATTTTGATTTTTCCTAAAGATTAGCGAGAAATCTGTTGATTATTAACAGGTCGCAAACATTGTAATCAAATGCCATAGAATATTAGAGCAACCGTATGGCTTTCGCCACCAAAGAAAAGCAGGCGTCGGTAGCGCAATTAGTTAAGCAAGCGACCCCGAAGAGGGTGGTGCGATTTCGAGTCTCGCTCGAGTCACAGATTTGCAAATCACTCAACATCATTGAACATATATGTACCATCATACCACCGCTAAAAGGCGACAAAATGAAAAGGATTCTTATCGATCACTTATATATATATATATATATATATATATATATATATATATATATATATATGCAGTATCTGTCGGTCTAACTGAGGATCAATGCCGATATGGCTTGCAATGCTAAACCGTTATCAGTGGTTCCTGACAGATTGATCGGTTGTAGCGTAGAAAGAGGGGTGGCAAAAACGCGTTAGTAGTGCAATTGGTTAAGCACGCGTTCCCGGATAGAGTGAGATGCGGGTTCGAGTCCCGCTGAGGGACAACTTTTGCACAACACTCAGCATCACTGCATATCACCAGGATTCTCTCAGAATGGAAGAGATTTCTGAGATTGGGTCATTTATTGCCATATTCTCAGATAGATATGACAACCTCACCTGTATCACCTGTCGCACCGATGATCGTCGGGTGAAACGAGCATGTACCAGCAACACTTCCATTTTTCCCTATCGCGTACTAGAGTAGCCCAGTGGGACCTCGTCGCTCTAGGGATTCGCTGAGCATCATATCTTTCTTCCAAACCTTTCGTGAAGTAATTGGATTATCGGGTTGGTGGTCTCCCTGCATAGCTCTTGATATCCCGAGGAATTCAGTCGGTAACGACTCTCGTCCATCGGTTGTCGTTGAAGCGCATCACGTATCCGGCCCACCCTATTTTCGATATCCTGGCGTGTGGAAAGTCGTCTTTGATCTTCGATCGTTGGCGCAGGTCGGAACTTCGGATCCTTTCCCTCATTTGCGAGAGACAGGATACTCCAAGCATCGAACTTTCGACTGCGCATTCGATAACGCCAAGTGATCCTCCATCCTGCTTGCGTAGCGACCAGGTTTCTGCTGCATACGTTAGAGCAGGGATAAATGTCGAGTCGAAAAGATGGGCACGGAGTCTGATGTTCTTTGCACTTTTCGCTACATCTTCGATGCCCTTGAATGTTCCCCAAGCCGCTCGCTTTTTCGTACTCAACTCTGGAGCTAGGTCGTTCATAAATGGAACATTCGGAAATGTTTGTTCCGTTGAGCGTGAATGTGGCATTCAAAAACCAACCGTTCCTCATGAACATCGTTTTCGTCAGATTTAGTTGAAGACCAGCCTTTCCATAGGCGTTGTCGAAATCACTCAGCATGCGTTCCGCTTGGCCGATGCTTGACGTTATGAGGACGATTTCATCAGCAAAGCATATATCGTTTGATTGTCGACCGTCACTTTTCACTCTCATATCTTCCCATTCTAAAAATCTCATGACGTTTTGCAAGGTGGCCGCGAATAATCTTGGCGAAATTGTATCGCCTTGTCAAACCTTTCTTCTTACATCGATGGTGATATTCTTGTAGAATGGAGAAATTTTGGTCGCAAAATCTCTATAAAGCTCAAGAAGGATCATTATGTACCGAGTAGGGAAGCCCTGATTATTCAAAGCCTCTATAACCGCTTCCGTTTCCAGTGAATTAAAGGCTTTGTTCGGATCGATGAAAGTGAGACAGAATGGTTGTTTGTACTCTCGTGAAACTTCAATGAGACTTGTAATCGTGTGGATGTGGTCTATAATATTAAATGCCTTTCAGAACCCTGCTTGTTCGCATGGCTGTCTTTCGTCCAGTGTTCTGTCAATCCCGTTTAGGATGACTCGAGTGAAGAGTTTATAGACAACGGTCAACGAGCAGATTGACCGAAAATTGATTATGTCGTAAAGGTCTCCCTTTTTATCAACAACACGGTATTGCTGGTTTTCCATTGAATGCGGATCTTGCATTCTGACAGGTAGCGAGTGAAGAGCCGAGCCAGGGTGTTGATGAGAACTGGCGGTAGGTTCTTCAGGTGTTCTGATCCAATCCTGTCTGGACCGGGTGTTGTTCTGTTCTTCACCAACGATATAGCATGTCGGATCTCGGAAGGGAGGACCGATGGAATGACATAATCATCCTCTTCAATTTATACGACGGTAAGAGGACATGGCTAGCGAAGAGATCCGAGTAGTACTGGTGTATGATTTTCTCCATTGTCCTTCTGGATGCTGAAAGTGTCTCGTCACGGCATCGGAGTGCAATCATCTTGGTCTTATAATTTATGAGGCCCCGCTGAGCTTTGCGAAAGCTCTTCCAGCTTCTGGCTTCCGCCATAACTACTGCTCGCCTCTCATTGAGATCTTCCTTTAGCGCTTCTCTGCAGTGTTTCGCAAGTTCGGACGTAAGATTTCGGTGGCCTGTACCTCGTGCGATTCCACGTTGACGTATCAGCTCAGTGTCTGCGGAGACAAGCGTCTCTTCGTGACTTTGAGGCTCTCGGCTTTCATAGCGCTAAAGTGAAGATATTCAACGATCCGGTCGCATTCTTTGTCGATGTTTTCGACATCGGTATCTTCCCTAGAGCCGACTAATGATTTGAATATATCCGAATTTGTGGTAGTTCTGGGACTTCGCTGTTTGCATTTAATCGCTTTCTCTCCTTTTCGCGAAAAACGGGACGTTGCGTGAACGAGGCGATGATTTCGTCCCGTGTAGAACTTAAAAACAACAGCGACATCGGTCAAACAGAACCTTCGATTTACTATGATGTGGTCCATTTCTTCATAGCACTCTTCATTGGAAGACTCCCACGTCCATCGCTGGGAGTGAGCCTTTTGGGATTGTGAGCTACCATGGATGGTTCGGGTCGTCATGATAAACTCAGATTGCCTCTCATCCTGTATATTTCCTTCTAGTCCGTGGGTCCCAATGTGACGTTCATGACCTCTCCAACTATGACCTTGAAAAAGGTATGGTCTTTTCCGAAGAATTTTTCGAGATCCATATAAAACACTTTGACTTTGTCTTCGTTATAGCTTATTATTTGTGCGAGATGATCAAAGCCGCCACTGAACCACATCGTTTCAACCGTATTCGTCCGATACGGATTGTTAGTTGTTGAAATGAAATCATGATCACAGTGAAAGTCGATTTGACGATTGCGCCAGCGCCGCCGACATCACTGTTATCGCTTGTTCCATGAAACAGTTCTTCTCCGGTGTCATAAACAGCGTGAAAAGAATAGCGTATTCTCGGCTCAGTCAGGCCACTGACGTCCTACCTTACCTTAACTGCTTGAATCTATAGATCTTCTATAGCGGATTCGTGAGCAAGTGTTCTTGCATTATAGGTAGAGATCATCATTTTTGTCCGTTTCGATTTTAGCGGCCTAGTTCGACTCTGAGATTTACCGGCCTTTCCGTACTCCTCCTACCTGGCGCTGCCGTACCAGGGGCTGTTTAGGTGTCAAGGAACTAAGGCTCATATTTCTTACTGTGGCATTTTGGCATCTCACATATGTACCATATTTTAGGTGGAGTTGCATGCATGGACTATGACACGGTGGCAGGTTTCCGCTCGCTGCCTGCCATGCATAAATTAAAGAAATATGACTATAACTAACACTCAGCAGGTGTTTACCATTCTGGCCACCGACTTTATTTAAGTGGATGCTTTTCGACACGTGATTTCCAGTGAAATCTTTCGAATTTACTCCGCAGTGAGCCCTTTTGCTAATCAAGGATGTGGGTCTTTCAGATGTTAATACATTAGTCATAACAGATTTGTGGCTCTTCCGCTGCTCACGATTTCACTTTGTTCTGGTCGAACTAGCTGACGCACAATTTCGTGTTGTGAATCTTGTGAACATAATGCTAAGTAAATCTTGAGTTTCTCTCTGTTAGCAAGAGACAGATCATTATTCAACGGTATCCCTTGAAAAGGATTTTCGGTAAACGTGGTAGTAACCACTCGAAATCTAAAATTTTCGGCTACTCTATGGTACATAGCCGGTTTTCTGAAACAACGTTACATAACGCTTTTAAATTCAAAATTAGAAAATATTTCACATCGGCCGCTTGACCTAACTATAACTTCGCTGGAAGCACGAAAGCCATATGAACTTGTAAAAAAAATCTTCTGCTATCAAAGTCATACGTTTATGTCGAGTTACATGAGAAGCGCAGAAAGAAGTTCTGAATAAATAAGAATAATCGCACCACCATGTGCCCGCCGTCCACTCGATCGATGATTGCGGCCATCTCTCGCCCACCCCTCAGCCCGTGAACTGCCCAAAGAACACATTCTAACGTATGTGAATCACTTTATTTTTCTCCTTCACTGCACAGAAATGGTCTTTCTGAAAAATAAGAACAGCGCTGGAATCACTAAATCTTGCACTATTAAATCTATTGATAGCCGGCAGAGGGAGCTCTATCCTGCGAAAAATATGCGCATGTAAAACACATATGCTTCCCTTTTGCGAAAGCGTTATAAAAACGGTTTTGCTAAAAAACGGCCATGTAGCGCACTAGTCAGAAACTGAAGTTTTCAGTGATTACTGGCACTCTTATAAAAAGTTCTTGTCCAGCGGATGAGCATTGGTTTGTTTCACGCCAAGAGAAAGGTAGCACTTTTATGTTAGTCAGCTCTTTTTTCATGTGTAGAAGACTGTTTATGTCATATTCCTAGAACATTCGTTGTAACTGAAGCCGCTGATATATCCACAACATGCTCCACCTTGTGCTCGGCATGAATCAGTATGTTCCAGTTGCTGTATCACTACTTGTTGACGTTCAACACTTGAATTTTGAATTCTAATAGGTGCTGTCGTGATTTCTTGGAACTTTAAGAACACTTCCTTCCGATATATCTCCGTTATAAGTCTCTGCCGATTCAGCTGATTTATAGGATCAACAATGTACGAATCCGTGATTTGTAAGAGAAATTGGGTGACAATTGGGTCAAATTTTTTACAAGAAGTCCAACTAAAAATGTACTTGACTGATCGGTTCATTGAGGTCATGAATATTCAATCCACCTCAGTTGTAGTGTATCATTAGTAGCCATGTGGACCATACAGGCCTTTTTGGATCAAGCTAGAAGGGATTGTCGTTATCATAACTACATCAAGGAGGTGGGACACGTCCCAGTTTCTCACATATGCATTGCGTTCTCGATATGAATCTGCCTATGAGCGACATGAGCTGTGAGCGCTCAAGAACTGGAACCGTGCTTCAGCTGTTCAGAAGAAACTGTCGAGTGTCAAACTGATGATGCGTCGCAATGAAACCACTGATGATCCTGAATTTGGACAACCTGAATCCGATTGCAGACCATGTCAATGTCGTCCGATGTGGTGAGTTGCAACTGTCGTCTTTTAGAAGGTGAAAAGTCTTGGGTTCTCGTCTATTATCTTGGCTTCTTATCTATTATAAGGCGATAAATGAAAAACCGACTCATTCGCTGGACAGTAATTTT